GTGACTTAGCTCATACTAACTCAGCTTAGAGGGAACACTGCCTACAACATACCCGAAAGATGGTCATTCAGCCTCCACTTGAAAACATCCAGCGAAGGAGCATCCACCACCTCCTGAGGCAGACTGTTCCACTGCTCAACCACTCTTACAGTTAGGAAGTTTCCCCTGATATTTAGCCGGTAACGACTCCCTTGTAATTTCCACCCATTAGATCTAGTCTTGCAATCCAGAGCAAGAGAGAATAGATCTGCTCCATCTTCTACATGACAGCCCTTCAAATACTTGAAGACTGCAATCATGTCCCCTCTAAGTCTTCTCTTTCCCAGGCTAAACATACCCAACTCTTTCAGCCTTTCCTCATAAGACTTGGATTCCAACCCTCTCACCATTCTGGTTGCCCCCTTCTGGACACGCTCGAGCTTGTCAACGTCCTTCCTAAAATGTGGTGCCCAAAACTGGGCACAGTACTCCAGGTGAGGTCTGACCATAGCAGATAAAAATATTTTTAAAGAATTGTGAATAGAATTCTTCAGGAGACCCTCAAAATGGATATAGGGCTATGTACGGTGGTTTGGTACCTACCGTACCAGGGTCAGGCTGTCAGGTGTAGTAGGGTGAAAGACTGATGTGCCAGAGAGCCTAGGGGCCCGACCATGGGTTAATACAGCCCTGCCTACATTACACCACTATGATGCATTTCTTAGGAGCTGTGCAGTATCCCTGTTTCTGTGCATCCATCTTGGGAGTAGGGAAGGATGACCCTTCAACTACATTATAAAAAAGACACCTCCTCCATTGGCACGGGAACAGTTTACTCGCAAGGTCATTCTCCAATTTCACAGAAAAAGCAGAAGGTATATAGGCAGTTTCTGCTAACAGCAGACTGCTTTACATGTGATTGTGTGGAGAGCCAGTGCAGTGCAATAGAGTCATGCTAAGAAGAGGAAGAGATTGGATTTATACCCTGCCCTTCACGACCCAAGGGAGTCTCAGAGCGGCTTACAAACTCCTTTCCCTTCCCCTCCCCATGACAGACACCCTGTGAGGTAGGTGGGGCTGAGAGAGCTCTGACAGAAACTGCTCTTTTTTCAAGGACAGCTCTTGCCAGAACTATGGCTTGCCCAAAGTCATCCAGCCAGGTGCAAGTGGAGGAGTGGGGGATCAAACCCAGTTCTCCCAGATTAGAGTCCGCGCACTTAACCACTACACCAAACTGGCTCTCCAGAAGAGGGAGTCCCAGGTTCAGATCTCTGCCATGAAACTTACTGAGGGATCTTGAGCGCCCCCCCAGCTGCTTCTCCCACAGCTATTGTGAGAATAAACAAGGTTAGAATACCCATGAACTTAAGCTTGTAGGAAAAGGGTGGGATGAAAAGATGGTTCCACATGGAAATTATTTGTGTCAGGAAAACATCATGTATGAAATAATTCTTGAAGCAAAGAGGTATACGGGATTTACAAAAGTGAAAGAATGAACGTTTTTCACTCTGCCTATCACATTGTTCCCCACCCCAGAGCTCCCATTTCTTGTGTTTACAGGTATATTTGCCCCTCATGCTATCCGTTTTTCTCTCCCCTGAGAAACAATTTGAATTACAGAAGTTTGCAATCTTCCACAGACAACCTGATGCAAGTAGCCAATGACAAAGCATGACCTTGAACTGGAGGTGTTAATGCAGGCAAGCGCCAAAGCTATTTAAGAATATACTGAACCCAGATGCTGGTCCTCTGTTCTGACAAGAGGATTTCTGGGCAGGAAGGAATCCCTGGATTACATTCCAATGACTTGCCCAACAATGAAGAACAGCTTTTTAAACATTCGTTTTATATACATTTTAATATGCTTTCTGCTACATTTAAGAGTACTGCTTTCTAGAAGACATCAAGCCAGGTGACACTGACAATTCCAGATCTGTTTATGCTAGCATTTCCAGTAAAATAACGTAACACTGGCCAATGAAAATTAAAGAGAGATTTGTTAAATTGCATGTTGTTCTCCACAGCTTTGTGAAAATGGCATGAAATAAAATGGCATTAGCCAGTTATTCAGAACTGGGAATTAGAGGATATCCTAATTAGCAAACATGTATTATGTGTGTTAATCTGCATTACCAGCCAATATTTTGGAGGAGGTCTTGCATGAGAAATCTGCAGACTTTCATGTCAGAAACCAGAGCATGTCAGCGGCATCCTGATTTTGTTGGCTTTTTTTTTAATTGGAAAGAAGGACATGTCCCAATCTGCAAATGGTTACGCAAAGCACCTACCAATCCCAGGCAACAGATTAATGTAAGAAATGCTAGATTCTGTATAAGCAGCCAAACAAGGACAACATGTCTTCAAAAAACAGAGTGATGTAGTGGTTAGAGTGTCAGACTAGAACTGGGAGACCCAGGTTCAAATCCTCACTCTGCCAGGGTAGCTCATTGGGTGACCATGGGCCAGTCACATGCTCTCAGCCAAGCCTACCTCACATGGGTGTTGCTGTGAGTATAAAATGGAGATGGAAAGAACAATGTTATAAGCTGCTATGGGTCCCTTCCAAGAAGAAAAGCAGGTTATAATTAATTATATATTACTTAACTATCCTTTGCTCTTGGCTGCCATTTCTTACACCTAGTTATCTACTAAAGATTTAAACAGGAGCAACAAAGTGCCTATGTGGACTTACTGGGAATACAAAGATTCCCTAACACCAGAAGTAGCCTTCATTCCCATTATCCAGTCACTTCCCTCAAGTAACATCAGTTACAAGACTTGCAGGGACTCACTGGGGTGGAAACAAAATTATATTGCCATATGTTTTAATGGAGGGCAAATAAAACAGAGCTAACAAGCAGCAGTTGAAGACTGCAGGAGGACCAAATTAGAAATAACTGTAGCTAGTGTGGGAAGGCAGGAAGAGAGCTTTAAAATGCAGTGTATGAGTAAGCAGGAAGGTGAAGCCAATTCCCCCCCTCCCCACTAGTGCATTTGTTCTGAAAAGAGTTTTCCCCCAGCAGAGAAACACAACTGGGAGTAACTCCTGATAGGAAAAAAAATAGTAGGGGTGAAGGACCTTCAGGGAGGAAAAGGCTCAGCTCTGCTGCCTGTCCACCATGGCTTCTACCACAACCAGGCCAAGCTATGCCTCAAGAGGGCTGCTTTGAGATGGGATTGTGGGGTTTGGGGCAAAAGCATACTCTGCATAGCCCAGCAGTGAGTTCTACTGCCACAGTCTCTCATTTTCCCTCAGCACAGCCATGTTGGATCAGACTAAAGCGCCATTTAAACTAGAATTTCTTTTCCAGCAGTGAGCAGCCAGAGGCCCCTGGGAAACCTACAAGCATGAAGGCAATAGTTGTCCTTTTTTCACCCAGCAACTGATATTCGGAGGCACAGACATGAAAGCAATTATCACCCAGGCTAACAATTGTTCTTCAGCTGTTTCAAACACTGGTGATGACTCTCTTCAGACAGAGTGCAAAACTATGGTTTCTTTTAACTGCGATCCATGGATGATCATGCAAATCCTGGTTTGCTTTGACAAATGCTGGCTTCACCACCTTCACTCTTCCCTCTGCTTCCCTTGCAGAGATCCGACATGCACAGCAACGAAGGCAGCAACAGGGAACAAGCCAGGATTAAGACAGAATGTTTCCCTTCTGTACCTCATATGAAACCACAGTTAAGAGTTCATACAAGTAGTAAACCGCCTCTAACTGTGCTTTCAGATTGTGTTCTAACCATGGTTAGTGAAATTTTTAGACAAACACACTTGCTGTGGTTGTCTAAAACTGTGAAAACCCTCCCTGAGTCCTGTGAAGACACAAAAGTGTCCTACAGCCTCAAGCTGTCTCTGGCCACTGGTCTATGAAGGTCAGTGTTGTCTACTCAGATTGGCAGTGGCTCTCCATAGGCCCAAAACAGAGGTGACATGACACATCACCTGCTACCCAAACCAAGGATTAAAGCGAGGATCTTCCACCCGCAGAACACTGTTCCACACACACACACACCATTACTAATGGGCATGTGATGCTGTCCCACAATTGAGTCAGATCATTGGTTTATCGAAGTCAGCATCATCTGCTTTGGTCAGCAGCAACTCTCCAGGGGTTCTCAAGGCGGGGGGGGGGTAGCTTTCACACCACCGATTAGCTGGTGATGCCAGGGATTTGATGGAGCCTAGGACTTTCTTAACGCAAACTAGATGCTGAACCACTGTGCTACAGCCCCCTCCTGTACGTCCTTTTGAAGAGAAGCACACAGGCTAAAAATGTCTTAAATAGATCCAGTTAAACCATGATCTTCTGTGACCTCTGAACCACACATATGCAAACAAAGTCATTAAGAGATTGGCCCTAAATTTTCCATCTATCAATATAAATTAATAATTCTGGCCCTTTTTTGGCCATCTCCAGAACGAAATCCCTGTAGTACTTTTTATTAGGACCAACCACATTGACGCGAACCATTATGCAAACTTTCCAACTGACTGGAGAGTCCTTGCAACTTTATAGGGATGGGGGAAACCAAGTACAAATCCTTGCAAAGCGGGGCTCCTACGGGCTGCATCCAATCCGGCGGGCGGGCGCATCTGTCTAGGCTGGGGAGTGCACTTTGGAAAGTGGAGCAAGCTTGTTTCCCACTAACTCTCAGCCACCCGAGGGAGAACGTCGTGCATGAAGGCAGCGCTACACAGCCTGTGGTAGAGTAAACACACCACTGCTGGGCTGAGAAAGAAGGTGGCTGGAGGGTCTACTCACCGCAGTCCAGGAACTTCACGGGATCGGCCATCACGGCACAGCCGACGGCCAAGAGCAGCGTCAGTTTCAGAGCCCACATCGTCTCGGTCGCAAAAAGCTGGAAACTTCCCGCAACCAGCCGGCGACCGCACGAAAAAGTAGGCACCAGTGGCCCGGCGCTGGCGTCACAGGAGAGGCACCCAAACCCAGGCCCGCCCCTGCGCAGTCACCTGAGGGGGGCGGGCCTGCCCTTCCAAGGCCGCCCTGACTGGCTGGCTGGCTGGCTGGAAGGTGGGCAGGCAAAGACAGGGCTTGTAGGGGCCGCGAGAAAACCAGCTGCCGCCGCCTTAAGACGGTTAGGAACCGTGCCAAGAAAGGCCTGGTATAAGCCCAAATCTTGGTAGTCGCGGCATACGGTGGCGTAGCAGAGAATGACGCTTCTTTTTAAGAAAAGCCGCGCTCATAGCCATTGGAATTGATAGGAAGCAAACCCACGCCTGTGCTTCCGAAGTGACAAAATCCTATAGGGGCCACCTTATTCGATAAAACTTAAGGCATCCAACATAAACCTCAGGCGGCGGCGGGGCGCGCGCGCGCTCTGAGCTCACGAAAGCTTCTCCCCACCTAATGCGTTGCCCTTTAAAATACCATAAGATTTATTGCCATTTTGTTTGTTGCCATAAGATTTTTAAGATGCCATAAGAACTGTTGCCATTTTAATCCAGAGGATTTATATCTGAGATGCACTAAAACGCAGTGGCTTACCTAGCCTATTTGGGGCCCAGAATCGATAATTTTTAGACACCCCCTCTTCTTTTTGCCGTCAAGTCTTAGCTGAATTATGGCAACCTGGGCAGGGTTTTCAAGGCAAGAGACATTCGGAGGTGGTTTGCCTTTACCTGCCTCCTACCTGCTTAGCTTCTGAGATCTGAGGTGATCAGACTAGGCTAGTGCTATCCAGGTCAGGGCCCCTCCTCCATATGACAAAATTATTTTCAGGAATAATAATGAAATAAGATGAATAATAATAATGGCCAGAACCTGGTACATGGGTAGCCCTGTTGGTCTGAAGCAGCAGAACAAAGTTTGGTCTTAAAGGTGCCACTGAACCCAAACTTCAATGGCTAGAAAAGAAAGGTAGACAGGGGAAAATGTATTTAACTTCACATATAATAATGCCTGTAAAAAAAGATTCAAATACCAACACGCTAATCCATCACAAGAGCCAACATGGTGTAGTGCCTAAAGTGTTGGGCTAGGGTCTGGGAGGTCCAGGTTCGAATGCCCACTCATGCCATGGAAGCTTGCTGGGTGACCTTGGGCCAGTCACATTACTCTCAGCTTAGCCCTGGCCTGGATAGCCCCAGGACAGCATGATCTTGTAAGATCTCAGAAACTAAGCAGGGCCGATGTGGAGGCAGGGAATGGCAAACCACCTCCAAACATCTGTTGCCTTGAAAACCCTGCAAGGCCACCATAAAGTGGCTGTGACTTGATGGCCAAAAAATAAAATAAGATCCATCACACCAGTCATGTTCTAAGCAGGCACTTAGGAGGGTTTTTTCCTCCATTTTGAAGCCCAAGATCTGACCATCCCAAACATCTACAAGGCATTTTTGAGAGCTAGGAGTCTGCTTTTGCACTAACTTTTACTAACTCAGCTATGCCCCCGGGAGAGCCTTGCACTCCACTGATAACAACTTGCTGGTGATCCCTGGCCCCAGGAATGTCTGGCCCCAACCTGGTGGAAGACTCTGTCAAATGACACCAGGGCCCTGTGGGACCTTGAGCAATTCCGCAGGGCCTGTAAGGCAGAGATGTCCTGCCAGGCTTTTGGTTGAGGGCAGCAATGGTTGGTTGCACTGGCTGGCACCCTTTCCCTCTCCCCCCTATATATATATTTTGCTTATGTTTCCCTCTCCCTCTCCCACCAAATGGCTGGGTAGTCCAGAATGGGAACAGAAAATTGTAAATCGCCATCTGGGATCTTTTATTATGGTTTTATTTCTTATTAACTGTATACAGATATTTTAAAATTTGTATTTTGTTTTATGGCATTTTGCCTTTTGTACATCGCCCAGAGCTCAGTGAAAGCTGGGACAACAAACAAGGGGGAGTTGGAAGCCCAGCAGAACCAGTGCAATGTACAGTGCCCAGAAAACCCACTGCCTTCTATTCATAATATTAACAAAGGTTTGCTACTATACTATTAAATACGTTCCATCATCAAGCAGAATAGGGATGAGAAGGTCTTGAGACCAAGAGGTGAAAATAAAGGGAGGGGGGGACACAAAAAAAATAGGGAGACAGCAATGAATGAGAAACGTGTTGTTTTATCTTGCTGCAACACCCTAACTACTGCTTTGCATGAGCTGGGTGCAAGGAACGGAAAGGAAGAGAGAAAGGCTAGACTATTGGAGAAAATGACCTACAGGCTGGCAATTACTGTAGCAGCTATCACTGTGCTGTTTTGGTTGTAGGATTTGTTAAGCAAGTTTGCTCCAGTCTTGGAGAAGGGGAAGTCTAGCCGATTCTAGACTGCTTTTCGCTATGCTCAGACTGCACCGCTTGGAAACAGTGATCATAATGTTGTTGAGTTCATCATTTGTACAAATAGAGAATTGGCCAAAAAGACTCACACAACCATTTTTAACTTTAAAAGGGGTAATTTCTCTGATAAAAGGTGCCACTGAACCCAAACTTCAATGGCTAGAAAAGAAAGGTAGACAGGGGAAAATGTATTTAACTTCACATATAATAATGCCTGTAAAAAAAGATTCAAATACCAACACGCTAATCCATCACAAGAGCCAACATGGTGTAGTGCCTAAAGTGTTGGGCTAGGGTCTGGGAGGTCCAGGTTCGAATGCCCACTCATGCCATGGAAGCTTGCTGGGTGACCTTGGGCCAGTCACATTACTCTCAGCTTAGCCCTGACCTGGATAGCCCCAGGACAGCGTGATCTTGTAAGATCTCAGAAACTAAGCAGGGCCGATGTGGAGGCAGAGAATGGCAAACCACCTCCAAACATCTGTTGCCTTGAAAACCCTGCAAGGTCACCATAAACTGGCTGTGACTTGATGGCCAAAAAATAAAATAAGATCCATCACACCAGTCATGTTCTAAGCAGGCACTTAGGAGGGTTTTTTCCTCCATTTTGAAGCCCAAGAGCTGACCATCCCAAACATCTACAAGGCATTTTTGAGAGCTAGGAGTCTGCTTTTGCACTAACTTTTACTAACTCAGCTATGTCCCCGGGAGAGCCTTGCACTCCACTGATAACAACTTGCTGGTGATCCCCGGCCCCAGGAATGTCTGGCCCCAACCTGGTGGAACTCTCTGTCAAATGACACCAGGGCCCTGTGGGACCTTTAGCAATTCCGCAGGGCCTGAAGGCAGAGATGTCCTGCCAGGCTTTTGGTTGAGGGCAGCAATGGTTGGTTGCACTGGCTGGCACCCTTTCCCTCTCCCCCCTATATATATATTTTGCTTATGTTTCCCTCTCCCTCTCCCACCAAATGGCTGGGTAGTCCAGAATGGGAACAGAAAATTGTAAATCGCCATCTGGGATCTTTTATTATGGTTTTATTTCTTATTAACTGTATACAGATATTTTAAAATTTGTATTTTGTTTTATGGCATTTTGCCTTTTGTACATCGCCCAGAGCTCAGTGTAAGCTGGGATAGGGCGATTAATAAATCAAATAAACAAATAATAACTAAACTAGCCAAAGCATCACAAAATAGTGATCACAATCTTCACCAGACTGGATGTTAAGAAGCACACACACCCAAAGAAGGTGTTCCCATCCTCCATTGTTTCCAAAGGACTAAAGTAAAAGCAGAGAATCTCTGCAGTAGAAACTGAAGGGGCATTTTCGCAAGCCCAACAGAACCAGTCCAATGTATAGAGTTCCCAGCACAACCCAGTGCCATTGTGGCAGCACTAGCTGATGTCAAGCACAGAATCACAGTCCAAGCAAGGGGGAGTTGGAAGCCCAGCAGAACCAGTGCAATGTACAGTGCCCAGCAAACCCACTGCCTTCTATTCATAATATTAACAAAGGTTTGCTACTATACTATTAAATACATTCCATCATCAAGCAGAATAGGGATTCTTCACCCAAAGAGTGATTAACACTTGGAATTCACTGCCACAGGAAGTGGTGGGTGCTACAAGCATGGATGGCTTCAAAAGGGAATTAGATAAGCATATGGAGCAGAGGTCCATCAGTGGCTATTAGCCACAAGGTATAGCTAGGGGCTCTGGGGCAAGTGATGCTCTGTCTTCTTGTTGCTTGGGGGGGTCAACAGTGGGAGGGCTTCTAATGTCCTGGCCCCACTGCTGGACCTCCTGATGGCACTGGTATTTCTGGCCACTGTGTGACACAGAGTGTTGGACTGGATGGGCCTTTGGCCTGATCCAACATTGGCGTCTCTTATGTTCTTATGTTCTTATGACTTCCCTGCAACCCTAATGGCTGCAGCCAGAACTGCATTTTAAAAATAAAAGAACAGACAGCTGGAGGCAGCGTGATGCTGGCTTCAAGAGCCCTCCTTCAAGGGCCTTCCTCAAGCTGCACCCGGGGTGGAGCGAACCCCCTGCCTTGCCCTTCATATGCCATTGGTAAAACGAATGACAAGAATACCTGCATTCTTGTCATTCCTTTTAATACATCCCCTTATTTCTGTTTTTCAATGTGAAAAGTACCCTTAGTGCATTGAAGTGGTTGTTGCTTCAGGGAGGTGCTGGAAAACCAAAAATTGGAGGAAGTTCTGGGAAGCACCTGTTTTTATTATTATTACTTTTCAGTTTATATACCGCTCGAACCCCGAAGGGTCTCTGAGCATTTACATACGATTTAATTTCCTACCTAGGGCCACATTAACTGGGGAAGTGTTTTTGCCTACCAGCACCCAGGCAGCTCTTGTTGGCTCTTTTCAAGCGGGCTTCAGGTGTTGTTCTTGGCGGTCTACCTCCTGGCACCTTGGGACGGGTCTTGCTTCCAGCGACTTCCTCTGGCGGGCTTTTTTATCCTGGGGCGCGGCCATTAGAGCTGTTAGAGCTGCCCATCCAGTAATGTAATACTGTTTCCCCTCCTGTACATTGAAACATGGTTTCGTGTGATAGGAGCATGTTGCTTGTATCTGCTATGCTATTTTGCAGAAATACGACACACATCTTTTGTGTAGTGAAGCAAACAA